ACTATTTCCACTGTTTTTGGCCTAAATGCCAATATAAGACTAGAATTGCTCAAAATTTAACTAATCACCATACAACACATACAAATATTAAACATTTTAAATGTGATTTTAATAATTGTAATAAAGTTTACAAACAATTAGCTCATTTAAATCAACACAAAAATAGTGTTCATTTAAACGTGAGATATGTATGCGATTCGAGTGAATGTCACAAACAGTTTACACGAAAAGAATTATTACTTCAACACAAAAGTAGTGTTCATTTGAATGAATAAAAATAATATTTAATTGTTTTTGGCCAAAATGTATGTATAAATCCCAAAATAAACATTTAATAAAACACTCAAATGATAACAAATTTAAATTTGATTTCGAGAATTGTTTCAAATTCTATAAAAGAAAAATAAGTCTTAAATTACATAAGGAGAAAGCACATTTAAATGTGAGATATGTATGCGATTGGAGTGAATGTCGCAAACAGTTTACATGAAAAGATAAGTTAAATGAACACAAAATTGTTGTTCATTTGAATGAAAAGAAATTCAATTGTAATGAAGAAAATTGTGGCAAAAGTTTTGCATCAAAATCTGCACTCAATTATCACCGACGCATACATTCGGGCGAAAAGCCATTTGTTTGTCATTTCAATGATTGTCGCAAAAGTTTTAGCTCCAAGTCAAATTTAAATAAACATATTGATAAAGATCATTTAAATATAAAAATCAAATGTATTAATAGGAAATGTAATGAATATATTGATAATAATATGACATTAAAACAGCATATAATCCACCATATAACACCATATACAGCATATAACACCAAAATATTATACAAATTTTAATTAAGTATGTCATCGATTTGATAGCAAAAGAGTGCTCTAAAATCTGTTCAATATTTACAAGAATTAGACATTTTGTGCCGATATTTGCTCTGAAAGTGTTATATCATTCACTGGTTGTGCCACACCTTACATACGGCTCATGTGTATGGTCTCTAACATATGATCGCCATTTGGAAAGACTCACAAGAATTCAGAAACGGATGGCAAGAGTTGTAACAAATTCTGAATATAATTCTCATTCAAAACCTTTATTCAAGGAATTAAATTGGTTTCAATTCAGGGATTTAATTAAATATGAGTTATTTAAATAGATTTATAAGAATATCAATGAATTGGGTTTTGATATCAAGTTCTTCGAGTACGAGCCCATCCGGAGGACTAGATCTAGAAATTCAAGACATTTGATGGCAACAAATGCTAAACACAATTACACCCAAAATACTATTTTTTATAAAGAGGTGAAAATGTGCAATGAATTGGATTTAACCCTTAGAGACACCAAATTTTAAACGTTGTAAATCTAGGTTGAATTGTTTTTTAAAAGAACAACTGTATTATATTTTATGTGTTATGTATCATTTTAAATAGATTTCGATGTATTATAGTTTATAAAGAGGTAGTGTACAGAACATTATCTTTAATTAAATGAATACACACCTCTATAAATAAATTGAATTGAATGCATTTTGTAGTTAAAATTTAAAAACGTTTACTAATCCTTAAGTCAACAGATTTATGTATAATGAGACCACTATAAAACGCAAGGGACTCACCCAAAAGGCCTAAACTTGAATAAATAACTAACCAATGGTCATTTGGCTTAATTTAGGTAAGGTTAGGTTAGGTTGGGTCAAGATACGTCTATTCCACTCATCTAATTAAAAGTATGTGGCTTATAGTTTATTTATTTCTTATAGATTATCAGTAGACAAAGGTTGTCTATGATTTTACCATTGGTACCTACGTTGATTTTACCTACAATACTAAC